TGGCAGGGGAGAGGTCAGCAGTAACAATGGGGTCAATCGTGAACAATGAGCTTTACTCAAATGCGTTGCTGAGCCAGGATTATCTGTACAGCCCACTCACTACCAGTGGCTGCATAAGTAGGTGGGTCTTTTCAGAAACTTTCACCTCCGCAGGGTTTCAGATTTGGAGAAAAGTCTGATTCAGGTTTTTGTGAGGTTTGAAAAATTTATATATTTGGGGCACTCACCTTGAAAAAATAACATAAAAAGTATCAGGACATGCCACTAGAGTCCTCCTGGGACCTTGAAAGGGGCCATGTAAGTGAAGGTGCCTGAGCTAAAGAGTCATTGACTTTAAAGTGGATCCACTTCTTTTTGGATGCATCTTTATCTTTCTGGACACATTCTTCTGCCCACAAACAGGTATGCATGAGGTGAGGGCAAAGATGATGGAAAAGGATTTAGCAAATGTGCAATGACAAAGGTATAATTGACTAAGACCAAGTTATCTGACTGGTTTTTTAACCAGGTACAGTGTATGTTTTTTGGTGAACCAGCCTGGGCTGGAGCCAACCTCTCCCTTAGGCCGCAAGCCTCTTAAGCACAGGGTCCACACGTTTGTCACAGTTCACCCAAATACCTACCTAAGAGAGTGTGTCAGGAAAGGCGAGTTAATGAACAGCTGCTGACTGTGAATGAGAGAATGGCCAAATAAATTCACACCCCTATATTAGTCAGAGGGTCACTGTTGCTTAGCTTCCAAAGGACCCTCTGAAAAATGTTTTGAGCCATCTAAAGAAAGGTATCATCTTAATTTATTAGAGAGAAGCTAGAGTCTGCCAGAGGGCTACTAAGTCATCCTTCTTATGGAATGACCAGAGCCACACTGGGCATAATTAAGAACATTTGATTTCATTATAAAGCAAATTTTCTTTTTTTTTTTTTTTTAAAGATTTAGTTATTTATGCATGCAAGAACTGGGATACAGGCCAGAGGTGTGGGGGGGTGAGAGGATTCACCATAGACAGAGTAGGAAACAGAACAGGCAGATTGACCAAAATACACTGCTAGGGGAGGAGGGGGCAAGTCAGGAGAGGTCTGCTGCACCATGTGGGTAGCTCCCTGGCCAGGGATAGAACTCGTGCTACAGTGGCTGCGGACAGCTTCATAGGTTGTATCTTAACCCCTTCACCACCAGGGAGGCCCCAAAAGCAAATATTCTTTTTTTTTTTAATATTTATTTATTTATACAAGCACTGGGTGTAGTAAGAAACGCAGGAGGGTGAGAGAAGTCACCAGAGCCAGAGCGGGGAACAGAGCAGGCAGAAGGACCGAAGTACACTGCTGAGGGGAGCAGCGGGCGGCAGGAGAGGTCTGAGCGCCATGTGGGACACTCGCCCGGTGGCCGGGAATCAAACTGGTGCTGCAGAGGCTGCGGGCAGCTTCACAACCCAGCGCTCAACCACTGTACCACCAAGGAGGCCCCAAAGCAAATATTCTTAAAGAGCTTTTTCCTCTGGTTTCAGCAGGGGTTGTTTTCACATACCAGGGGAAGGCTAGATAGTATGTAATTTGATTTGCTCTTTATGTTACCTTAAATTGAACTTTTAAATTCCTTATTTACTGGAAAATAAATTTATAACTTTAGTCCTGAGTGCAGTACAGAATATCCAAATTCATGCAGAAAACCAAAGCTGAGTCCAGAGCATTCTCTTTTGTGGACAAATACGGCTTCACACATGGTAAGCGGAGGCGAAGGTCACCTGATACCACCGACACTGATGGGGGACAGTGGGGGCAGTGTCTCTGAGCAGATGACTGGCAGGGCTGTCACCCACGTGTTCAGTTTGTTGTGAACTGGATGGGGAGCCAGATTTACATGTTAAACATGCTGGGCTGGACTGGCAAACTTTTGATTTAACTTTTGCTCTCAAGACAATGAGGATTAACCTATACAGTGAGTGTCATGTAGGTGAGAAGGCTCTAGATTCAAAGTTAAGGGACTTGGGTTCAGTTATCCTTTCATCTCTATTTGGTTGTGAGATTGTGAGGAAGATACCCAACTTCTTCATATCTATCTGCCTCTCTTTTAAAAAAGCAAAGGGAGGCCGATAGTACCTATTCCACCTGGCCCTGATAAATCTCAAAATATTACCCAAGAAAGGTGTTTGAAAGTATAAATTAACTTCTGATTTGAGCTAATACAATTCTACTACATAACAATACCACATTGCAATTTCCTCATTTTAAAGCTAAAAAGACATTTTTTTAAATAGAAACTCCAATATTCTTTTCATTATGCCAGAAAGTATCATTTATCTTGCTAACTTTTAATAAAAATAGAAAAAAATAATCTATTTTTGTTCATATTTATTTGTGAACTGTGTACAAAATAAAAATCCAATCAAATTTATAAAAATATGCTCACTTTGGCCCCAAATGACAACAATCTTTGGAATCAAGCTGCTGAAATGCTACAGGTGACTCCAAACCTAGCTGGTGATGTGGGTGCTAATGAGGAAGACAATGGGTGTCACACTCTGTACACTAGAGTCCTATGTATGTAGGAATCCTGAAAAAGTTGTACATGGTCTTTTTTTTTTTTAAAGATTTATTTATTTATACAAGCACTGGGTACAGTCAGAAGCACGAGAGGGTGAGAGAATTCACCAGAGCCAGAGCGGGGAACAGAACAGGCAGAGTGACGAAGTACACTGCTGAGGGGAGCAGCAGGCGGCAGGAGAGGTCTGCGCACCATGTGGGACCCTCACCGGCAGCCGGGGATCGAACCGGCACTGCAGAGGCTGCGGGCAGCTTCACAGTCCAACGCTCAACCGCACCGGGGGAGGCCCTGTACATGGTCTTTTGTTCCATTTAATGAGATGAACTAGTTGACCATCATGTCTCTGAATTACACCAATAATGCCAACACCATTAATGTAATGGTCACCTTTGGAAACGTGACGATGCTTTAGAACAAGGCCAGGGAGTATACATTGTAGATTTTGTGGACCATGGCTGCCTAACTTGGTCTTGTAGCAAAAAATAACCACGGACAATATGTAAATAAGCAGGTGGCTGTGTTCCATCTTTACAATATAGGTGTGGGTCATTATTGATTCACAGATCATGGCTTGCTTTAGAATATCATTAAAAAAAAAATCACCATTTTGTGATTTCCTTTTATTCCTTAGCCCTAAGCACCATTTTGTTGCTCTCACTTTTTAATGTAACTCCATCTCTAAGCTGAGCAAATACAGAAGGTGTCAAACCCTTGAGAAACCACCAAGCAGATAACCATTTGGAAAGATACTTCACATCTCAATATAACTATCTAAACTCTTACATTTTTCTCAAACCATTCTTAGTAAAACAAAGCATTATTTAAAATGTAATAACCATTTCCACTATTTTCCAGAATCAGGTTACTGATGCTTTAATGAAAAGTGCTTTCCAACTCCTAGGAATACTTTCCAAAAATGAAACCTAACTTATTTATTCATAATTAGATTTGCCTTTTGCTTTCCTGTAACAGAATTCAACTCATTACCAAATTTCATTTTTGTTCTAAGTAGAAAATATCACCTATCAGTCCAATTTATCCTCTTTATGACTGTCTCACCTTCACCTGATGGGAAATGCAGGCATGTGCTGTCAGAAGACTCTAGAAGGGTGAATTTAAACACTGGATCTTAAACAACTCATTCTCAGCTTTGGAGCTGCCACCCTTTACTATGTGGAATAGACTAGAATGGAACTGAAGATGAAGTAATTACTAGCACTACTAAGAATGTAGGTTTGGAGATACTTGTTCCCATTTGGGGTGGAGTCTCACAATGCTGGGTTCGGGATACTTTTCTGTGAGATCCTGCAACTGAGTTTCTACATCCACAAAATGGGTTATCTGCTTCCTAGGATTGACGCATAATGCGAGGTAAATGGGACATATTCAATAACTGATAGTTTTCTCACTGTTTCTGTACCCCCCTATGAGCCCCAAATTTTGTTTGTTCTATTATGAGAGAAAATTTTTATATATTTATTTATTTTACTTTCATGGACCTTCCAATGATGCCTTTATGTGAAATGTAAGTGCCCACACATATAGAAGGCCAGTAAGAGACCTCTGAGCAACCGAAGACTCAAGGTGGAAAAATTAACTGAATAGAAGGAACCATGGTTTCTAGAGTAGTTCAAGGTCAGTAAATCTGTTTGGTTTATTTTCTTTTAGAAAAAAGGACACTTGAGGTGTGGTTCAAGCAAGTAGAACATAAGCTTCTAGAGGACAGAGGCCTAATCAGTTTTATCCACTGGTGCCTAGAACTACTCTTGGCATGAGGTGAGTGTGCAATTAATACTTGTTTCCTCAACTAATAATTGGGTAGTTATGATTCTCCTTTTTTCTGAACCATGAGAATTTTCTGTATCTTGCATAGGGAAGGAATGTGGGCTCTAAGGTCACTGGACAAGTGGGTACCATTGGAATATACAGTCACTCATCAATTCCTGATGAGGCTATGTTGTGAGAAATGCAATGTTAGGGAATTTTGTTGTTGTAAAAACTTCAACAGGTGTAATTATGCACACCTAAATGGTACAATAGACATGGGGGGCTGCTGCAAGATACAGACTGTCAGGAACACCATCCTCTATGCCATCCATTGGGAACATAAACACTAAGTGATGCGTGATTGCATTTACCTTCATGATGCAATTTGTGACATGATTGTTCAAATTCTCTGATATAAAAATTGATCTGAAATAGGTTGAGGGGGACACAATGCCCATTCTAGGCCAGTTTCCAACAGATACTGTACTTTGCGGTCACCCCCAGCAAGAGTCCCTTTAATTTCATTTTTGTCTGGAAAATGAAATCCCCCTATTGTTCAGAACTCAGGAAGTATCAGGATGATGCTAGAGACAAGGGGGTGAAGTGGAATTACACTCTCCAGAAAGTCTCAAAGTCTCCTCATCGTTTTCCACAAGATGTGAGAGAAGAGCATATAACGTAGTTCACATACCTGAAAACATCATCATGTGCTGAAAGTTCCAGGGGACCTTCTGCTTTCGGCCCAGATTTAGGAGAAAGGAGAGGGGATAGATGTTGCAGGCTCTGGCAATAAAAATTGCTAGCTGTAGATAAGTGCAGGGAAACATTGAGGAAAATGTTGCTTCAATAAGGGTGAGAGTCCTTGAACTTGAAACAGGATGTCCTTGAACTTGTGCACATTCTGACCCAGAAAGTGGGGGCAAACATGCCAATACATGAATGTTCACTTTGCTTCCCAAATTCATCCCTCAATGGCAATGCCTTTCCAGAAATAATAGAGAACTCTGCTTTCTTTGCACATATACTTGGTTTAAAATTGTTAACCCAATAACTTTTCAGTCACTGTAAATTTTCTCATCGCATTTATGTTGCTGATGACTGAGTCTGTGCTCAATTCTGCTGCAAAATGGGAGGCAAAGACCATTCATAGGCAGCGACATTATCTTCTCAAGCAGCACTTTAGAAAGGATAAATGTACTTTTGCTCATGATTACCATCTTACTTTCCATCAGTTCATACTCACTGTAGCTAGCAAGCTTCACTTAATTTTTTCTTTTAGTGGATTTAATTTTGAGAAGAATTGCCTGTCTTAATGCATAATACAACTGCTGCTTTAAGAACCATTTTTCTAAAATCCAAGCTTTACACGTTAAAATCTATAAAGATGTTGGTGTAATCATCTCTCCTTTTTGGTTGTCTTTGGCTTCTTTCCTGATAATCTGTCTATTCTAGTTTGTCCTTAAATAGGATGGAGTTATCTGGGAAGAGGGAAATTTCTCTTAAGATTCTGGTTTTAGATGAAATTTGAAAGTTCAGCTCAGTGAAGAGAAGAGGTAAATGCAGATGCTTGGTTGCATCAGGGCTTTACAGACATGGTCAGCTCTCCTGTCCCGGAGGGCATTTGCCTGTGATATGAGAGTTATCTGCCCCTTTTTTCAAGTGGAGAGAACAACCACTGACTATCCTTGGGTTTATTCCCAGTGGCTCAGTATATCCATTCCCCTTGGGAATGCCTGCCTCTAGGCCTAGCGCTGCAAAGCTCTCTACATTGAAAGTGAATTCCAGGGCCTCCCCGGTGGCGCAACAGGTTGAGCTCAGCTTTGTGAAGCTGTCCGCAGCCTCTGCAGCATGGGTTCCATCCCCGCCAGCCAGGGAGATGCCCACATGGTACAGCAGACCTCTCCTGTCTCACCTGCTGCTCCCCTCAGCAGTGTACTTCAGTCAATCTGCCTCTTCTGTGCCCTACTCTGTCTCTGGTGAATCCTCTCACCCTCCCGTGCCTCTGGCCTGTACCCCAACTCTTGTATAAAAAAAATAAATCTTTTAAAAAAAGTGAATTCTAACCTTTATCTAGATTTTCCTTGTAGGAAAGGGGCTATGCTATAAAAATAAGCTTAATTTGCACAATTCTTAAGATATTAAGAGCATATTCATCATTCTCACTATATTCATCATGCTAACTTCTTTTGATCTCTACTCCCTTTATGCTGTTTTCAAAGTACTCACTAGAAAAATAGATTTTACCATATTGTAATAAAAATATTTCTAAAGCTTAGTAAGCCTGGTGGCTGTCTTCTGATATATTCTAATGCAGATTAAAAATATTTCTCTAAAAGAATGGGCTGATAAAACCTTTACATAAATGATTCATAATTTTAGTTAAATCTATTTTGAATATTTGCAAATGTTATTTTCCCTTAGTTTCCCCCATTTTTTTTCCCTCATCATTTTCCCAATTCTTATCCCAGACCTTAAGTATTTAATAAAGGCTCAAATGTCTTGGTTTGTTTTATCCTGTAACTAGAAATTACATAACTGCCTTGAATTTGAGTCTTACAGTATACCTCATGAATTACTTTACCAATTGAACAGAATAATCAGTGAAGGTAAATCATTTATCTTCCCTCATACCCCATGGTTTATATTATAAAGGATACAATGGCTCCAAGTATAAAGAGAGCATTAAAGATGTGATTCTGGAACGTGAACAGTGCCAGGCCCATGTAACAGAAGATGACGTTCTCAGCCAAGAAGTTCATAAATTCAAACAACTGAAAACAGAACAGACACAAAAACTGCTAATTATCACTTAGGTTTGAAGCCACTTAATGTCTTGTAACTGTATTTGGTGACTGGAAGGTCTTCTTTTATCAGGGAAGGCCATCCCTTTAGTCTTGTGCTCAGCCTCGGGAGGCCAGCTGACTCTACCCCAGCAAACACTGCAGCCTTGTCAACATCCCACTCTCCTTTCCATCTGCAAGGCTGCCAGACCCTCCCTGTGGTAATATGAAGCTGCACCGTTCTCTGTGGAACAATTCTTAACCAGATGACAACAGTCCCTGTTATAGGAATTGAAACCACCTGATTTGTTTAAGGTGTACTGTAGTATATGATGCTATGATTGGTTAGCCCCTTCTGCACATCACTCAGTAGGTACACTTGTGTTCCCAGTCCCTGAAGCACTAAATTAAAAAATAAAAGCGTTAGCTAAATTTCCTTTAACAGGCAGGAAGGCCAAGTTTGGAAAACTCAGAATAAGGATGAATGTAGATTATCCTTTAACATTAAAATGATCAGTATATTTCAATCCCCAGGCAATGAGACTCATTAAATTGACTGATGGAGGTATATCTATTAGATGTCTGTAATTTCTAGCTGGTAAAAGGAAAATGATTAATCCCAGGGATCATAGTTTATGCAGCAAGAATACAATAGATACATCAAACTCAGTCAGAGGAATGGAGTAATAACATACTATGCTAAGGGATGTTCCCAGGAGTTATTCTTAGACCATTAGCTAAACAATTTAAGTTGAACATGAAAAACGTTCTCCAACTTCCAGATTAGAAGTAAAAGGGGAATGTGCCCAGGGGCTACAACAAAGTCAGACTTGGAAGAGACTTTAGGCTTTTCATTTAGAACTTTTTGAAACTTCATTCTCAAGCCACCATAAATCACACGTTAGGTTAAAGTCTCTGGAGGCATTTCTCCTGACTTTTTAACGACTCATTATTTTTTCATGTAATGTATTTACAGCGCCACAAATAATGCCCAATACCTGTAAACTGACAGTTGACAGAAGAAAAGCACAATTTTGTCAGAAACATTATTTAAAACCAGCGATAAAGGAAAAGGATGTTAAAAAAGGACACAGTCCCATTGGTACAAGATGGCCTTTCTGTGATGTCAGCCACCATCAGTTATCCCGAGTACTCATTTTATCTTCTAGGACAGCTCCTCTAAACAAACACTGACACCCCAATAGCCACAGAGAACCAAAAACCACAGAAAACATGGGGGAAATAGAGGACAGGAAACACTTTTCTACCTCGTTATATTATTACTTTTTCAAGAAGTGAGATTTGATTTCCGTCTTTATCTGCTCAGTCTGTCATAACAAAATACTATACAATGGGTGGTTTAAACAACAGACATTTATTTCTCACAACCCTAGGGTAGTCCGAGATCAAGGTGCTACAGGTTGGGTTCTGATAAGTACCTTCTTATAGGTTTACAATCAACAGTGTAATTGCTGTATCCTCCTATAGCGGAGAGAGACTCTCTCTCTCTCTCTCTCTCTCTCTCTCTCTCTCTCATCTGTCTATAAAGGCACTAATCCCATTTGTGAGGGCTCCACCTCCTGGCCTTACCTCTCAAAGGTCCCATTTCCAAATACCATCATATTGGGGGTTGGGACTTCAACATAAAATTTGGTGGGAAAGGGAACAAATATTCAGTTCATAGCAGTTACCCCATTTTTAACACTAATAAATAAATGTCAAAATCAATTTGTTCTGGGCCTCCCCTGGTGGCACAGCAGTTGAGCGCTGGGCTACAAGGCTGCCCGCCAGCCTCTGCAGCACCGGTTAGTTCCCCGGCCACCGGCGAGGGTCCCACAAAAAAAAAAAAAAATCAATTTGTTCTTCTGGCTCCATCCAAAATATATTTTAGCCTACAGGGGACATTTTGCCATTGAGGATCCATTCAGATGCTTCTTAGTGGGCAACTTCAGTTTCCCTCTGGGGATCCAGCTCTTTCCCTAGTCTCAGTCCATGGGTCGACACCTCCCATATGTGTTGGACTCCCACACTCCAGATACAGTCTGTGATTTATGGCTAAACCATTCAAATAAATGTTTCCTTCAGCTGGTGTGCTGGTTCTGGAATCAGTATACTGCATTTGAAGCCAAAGAAATACAATGGAGCTATTGTAGGGATTGGTAGGATAAAGACCTCCACCTTCTCATAGGGTATGAAATCAGAAAGCAATTTCTTCTGATCACAAGATGGCTAGCAGCTTTCTCATTGTGGTTTTGATTTGCATTTCTCTGATTATAAGTGATGTTGGGCATTTTTTCATGTGCCTGTTGGCCATCTGCATTTCCTCTTTGGAGAAGTGTCTTTTTAACTCTTCTGCCCACTTTTTGACTGGATTCTTTATTTTGTTTTTGTTGAGTTGTGTAAGCTCTTTGTAGATCTTTGATATCAGTTCCTTATTAGTTGTGTGGAGTGCAAACATTTTCTCCCTGTCTGTGGGGTGTCTCTTCCTCTTGGTTATTGTCTCTTTTGCTGTACAGAAGCTTTTTAGTTTGATGCAGTCCCAGCAGTTTATCTTTTCCTTCATTTTCCAAAGAATCACTTTTTAATTTGAAGTGGGCATTTAATTCTCCTTATATGTATAGTTTTTGTCAGTTTGCATTGTTAAAGTTACTGGAGTTTTATAAAACTGGTTCATGTTCTCTTCTCTAACTACTTAGAATTCCTGGCTTGGCATTTTCTTTGTAAGATGATTTAAGAATACAGAAGCAACCTCCACGCAGCTTTCCATAGTGGTTGGACCAGTTTGCACTCCCACCAGCAATGCACGAGAGTTCCTTTTTCACTACATCCTCGCCAACATTTGTTGTTGCTTGTTTTTTTGATATGTGCCATTCTTAATGGTGTAAGGTGGTATCTCAGTGTGGTTTTGATTTCCTCAGTCTACTAAAAATGGAGCTACCATACGACCTGGCAATTCCACTACTAGGGATCTACTCAAAAGACAGAAAAAACATTGATTCAAAAGAATATCTTTACATCTATGTTTATTGCAGCACTATTTACAATAGGTAAAACCTGGAAACAACCCAAATGCCCAAAAATAGATGAGAGGATCAAGAAGATGTGGTATATACACACAATGGAATATTACTCAGCAATCAAAAAGATAAACTCATGCCATTCGCAGCAATGTGTTTGGAACTAGAAGGAATTATGCTTAGTGAAATATGCCAGAGGGAAAAAGAAAAATATTGGATGGTTTCACTTATAGCAGGAATATAGGGGAACCAAATAAGACATGAGTATAAAAAAAAATAACAGTACAAAACACAACAAAGCAAAAACAGACAATTATAAATCAGAGACATACTGTAGGGAGGAGGAGGGAGAGGGGTCAGAGGGAGGGAGGGAGGAGCATAGAGGACTGTGGTGATGGTGCATGGGTGCCTTGGGGAAGGAAATTCTATGGGGACTGAATCTGAGGGGCTGGGGGGAAGCAAATATTGTTTAAAAATAAAAAAATAAAAAAGATAAATGAAACATGAAGGATAAAGGGCAAAAAAATAAAAAAATAAAAAGTTGTAGAAGAAAAAAAAGAATACAGAGCAATTCTCCCAATTAAGTCTGATTTTCTATTCATTTCAATATTAGTTTTAGTGAGTTGTTCCATCCACATGTTTATATTTACTGCCTTACAGTTGTTCACAATATCTTCAGTAACTCAGCCTTTGTAGTCAGGTATTTCTCCAAAATTTTGGTAATTTGCGTCTTTCTTCCCCAATAAATTTTATTGGGAAGTTATCAATTCTATAAGTATTTCCAAGAAGCAACTTTGGCTTGTTGATTTTTCTGGATTGTACTTTTCTTCCCCACTTCATCACTTTCTCTATTATTTTCATTATTTGCTCTTTCAACAAACTTGAGTTTTATTTTTTGAGTACATTTTCATTGTGGTAACTTTGATTTATCACATTACTTATGCTTCCAGTGTTATAATTTGACCTGTATACTTTAGTTTTAACTTGTTTTTATTCAGTTTTAGCACTTCTAGTCTTGATGGAGATAGTGGCTTGTTAATTCCTTTTAGCATCTGTTTTTTTCTGTATTTTGTACATTTTTCTAGTTGCTTTCTACACTTGATCTTAGCCAAAAGGCCGAGAACTAAAGGAGAGTTAGTCCGACATTAGCACTACTGATAACTAGCCTTCTTGTCTGTTTATTATCCCAGGTAAATAGTTATTTTGGTCAATTTCCCACCTGGAGATCTTTAACATTTTATTTTGTAACACAAAGAATATGTATATAACTCTAGAGAGAAATGACAATTTTAAAATATCATTGGGGGAAACAGGTTGTTTAAAAGATCACAGAAAATTTTGGCTAATTTGGGAAAAGAGGACCAAAATTAAAGACAGATTCCAGACTCATTCCTTATATCCAAATAAACTGCAGCAGAATCAACAAGTTAAGTGGAACAGCAAAATCCACTTATGAATGTAATCAAAAAACCACCAGCAATTTTGAATTATTTTTCAATCAGGAAATTTTATAAGGATTATTTGTATTATTATTTGCAAAAGCCTGGAAATAGATATCCATAATATAAGAAATGGTTAAACATATTCAGTTTTCAGTCATGTGATAGAATATACTCTTAGGTAATTCCACACGATTTTATATGGACAGATATCCAAGATCCATTTTTAAATATTAAAAATTAAGTTAAAGAACTAAAGGGCATGTGTATGGATGAATTCATTTAAGTGTGTTAACATATTCACATACACATAGTTTTCACCTCACTTTATAAACACTTGTATCACTTTTTAACCATGCATATGTTTGTTTCATAGTTTAAACACCTAGAGTAAATTATAAGAAAAATTTCAAATTGAAACTTTCCAAATGTTTTCTTCTTTTAGGCTAGCTGGAGTAGCAACTCTCCCTCTTTTTCTTTTTTTGAGGATGTTATCCAGAACTATTACCTATTTTGAGTTTTTAAAGAAATCTTT